CAAAGCAAGGAGCCTACTGATCCATGTCAAGGCCCTTCACATATTGGCAATCAGCCGGCTGCAAACTGCCCGCAGCCATACAGCGACGCACAGACGTAGTTTGGCGCTGTGCACTCCGTGTCGCTACTGCGGTCTGCGCTTCAGATGCTACCAGACAAAACATGCGGCAGAATGCTCCATGATTGTGCACTCTAAATTTCTGGTCCTGCTCCATCACCCCCAGGTGCTGAGCGATGGATCTCGAAGGAGTTTCACGAGACGAACTCTTGCAAACAGCAGCAGAGCTGCAACACTTACAGACTGCAGCGCTCCAGGGCTACAGCTTCGCAGGACGTCAGCCACCGGCCTCAGTGTTTCAGCTGGGGCCTCAGCAAGCCTTGCCCCCTCCGGTTCAGGAGGTTCCCACTCAGGTAGTTGGAGCCATGCAACGGGCTCCGACGGTGACCCAGTCGGAGCAGCAGCCTCAGAAGTACACCAGGCCGAACGGGAAGGGCCAGAGACAGGGCTCTCGAGGCAGCCAACAGTCACCAGGGCCCACACAACGGCCCTCCCCTGGTCACCAACCTGCCGGACGGAGCCAGAGACGCCAGCTTCAGCCTCAAACTCGGGGAACACCGTTTGCACCCTCCGGCAACCAACTCTCGAACAGACCTCTTTGTCAAACTAACGCAGTTGTTGCTCAGGCACGAAGACCAGCTGAACAGCATTGCCCAATCCACCTCGTGGATCATGTTTCAAGGCACTGCTCCCCCGTTGAGCACGGTGTCCATCCAACCCAGAATAGGACAGGAATGGCGCCGGATGCAGGAAGAGTCGCCGGAAGCTATCAAAATGCCACTACGGACCATTTTGTTGCAAACGCGGGCCTCGGAACTCAACAGAAGAGTCGAAGCTGAGCAGCGACCAGGCCAGCCGGCAAGAAGCGCTTCGTCGAAACGGACAACTTCCGCTACAAGCGCTGGAACCCCACCCTACGGGCCTTGGAGGACAAGGACAGCAAGGCGCCACTCACGGTGCAGGAGGTGGTGGGGCTGCTGGAGGAGGCCATTGTCCTCTCCACAAAGGAGGGCGTCCTGATCAACTACCATGCCACACGCCAGCTGCTCCCGGAAATGACCGGGCCGGCAGTCACCTGGTGGTGGGACTCCGCGATCCCAGGTCCTACCGAATGTGGTCGATTCTAGAGGCATTGTCGGGCAGCAGCATAGTGGCCACCACACTGCGCAAGGAGCGCAGGGTCCCGGCTGGCTCGCTCGGTGGCTCAGGAGTTGCGTCAACTGAGACTTGCCTACAGCTCCGAAAGTTAGCATTAATCAACCATGATACGGAGTGTTATGCTAATGCCACCTTTCTAGCCTGTGTCTGGACATCGGCTCTTCATGCTCCCACCGAGGAATGCGTGAAATCTGCTTCCAGGCAGACCTTCTAAGTACTCAAACCCCAGTGCAGCTTTGGAGTCGCCCCCTGTGGAAGAGGTGCCTTCGCGATTGGCTTCATTGCGGATGGCAGCAGGATGCCGCTGATTTCCTAAGCTACTTCGTCGCAGGCTGCATCCCTCCAGCACTTTCAGTCGGCCACACTTTTTGAGGAAGGTTTAAGGGACTGCGGAGGAGCCTGCCCGCTGATCCTAAGCAGTGACATTGAATCGGGCTCACAAGTGGGGACAGTGCGGCCACTACAGAGTGTCATAGACCTGTGGCACTACAGTGCCACACCGCCCCCTGCACTTGTGGCA